ACCTGGGAGTTACCACTGTGATCCGGGTTGGAGTTTTCGGGTTCACAGGGGCCCATAAGGGACCGGAAGTTACCGCTGCGATGGGGGTTGAATATATATTATAGTGGGTGTAGAAAGGGGCCAGAATCGGGAGTTACCGCTACGATCGGGGTTGGAGTTTTGGGAGTTTTTGGTTCACAAGAGCCCATCAAAAGCCTAGACCCGGAAGTTACCGCTAAGATCGGGGTCGGAGTTTTTGGAAAGGCCCATCAAGGGCCTGGATCCGGGACTTACCGCTACGATCGGGGTTTGCAATTGTGAGACGTAGACCTGGTACCTAAGTCGGTACCAGGAATAAGCTATACTTTCAACGGAGATAAGATAACACGGCTTACATAACACGGCGCGCTTACGTCTGCCCTCTGCCCTCGCTTTCGGTTACAGTCCCGATGAGCTGAAGACGTTTGCGTGTTCCACCTCACAAGAGTCCAGATAAAGGACGAAGCTGACGCACGAGGAGTACCCATCTTTACTTTTGTTCCCACATGCCGCCCAACGCCGCGAAAGCTCTCGAGAATGTCTCTCTCGTTGGACAAAACAAGACCGCCGTCGTGGTCGGCGGTACGCTCGGTATGGGCGCCGCCGTGGCTCGGCTCCTCGCGAAAATCGGGTGCCGTCGCATAATCATCTTCGGCCGCAACGCGACTCGGGGAGCAGAGATGCTGGAGAACCTCAAGAAGCTTGCGCCGAAGGGCAGTGAGATACAGGTCGAGTTTGTGAAAGGGGATCTAGCGTATGTTCATTGCATTCCATCCGTTATGCCATGAAATCTCACCGAATCATGGCAGTGACACCAAGGGTATGCGCGCTTCGGCCTTGGCACTTCAGGAGGCGGCGGGACCGGCGTCAATTGACTATCTTGTGCGTCGTTTTTTATCTTCTAGGCAGTCTTAAATTTTGGCACTGAGTTCATCCCTAGGTCATGTGTCAGAGCGGCGTGCCTAATGGACACCTCGACCAGTTGAACGCAGATGGGTGCGCACATATTTTGCTATAACCTCCCAGAATTCCCGCTTATCAATTGAATTATTCCAGCCTCTGCCCGGTCTTGGCCGTTCAGGCGATCTCACGCTTCACCATCGCGTACCTCCTCACCACGGGCGGCGCCCTCGCCCCCAATTCCATTGTGCTGTCTATCGCAAATCAGGGCCAATCGCTCGACGACATGAGCATCGACGACCTCTCCCTGAAGGATCGGCTGGCGACCAGGAGCAAGACAAGCTTTTTCATGGACCAGTCGAAGCGCGACAGCACGGTCCTCGATTCCTTCCATGAAGAGCTGAACATCCGCTATCCGCAATACCGCTACTTCCACATGTATCCAGGTCAGAATGCCCGCTCCAAGGATCGCTCCTGCTTTAATGCTTACCCCGCGAGCTTTAGGCCTCGTCTCCAGCGAGAACTTCGACTATAATCTGTTCCCTGGATTTCTCAAGTACGGCGCTTGGCTGGGCATGAAGCTCATCGGCCAAACACCCGATCAATTCGCCCCCGCCGCCGTCTACGTGAGCCCTTTCCTGCGTGTTCAACACCGCTGGAAACTGACGCAGTTTCTCAGATTCTCGCAGCCCCAGACGCGGAGAAAACGCTCGGTCCGGGCAAATATTTCAACTGGAAGCTGGCCCCTGGAAAACTGGGAACGTGGCCGCAGAATCCCAAGAATCGCGAAGCGCTGTGGGAGAAGCTCAAGGAGATTATAGGGGAGAAATAATGTCGCGTGTTCCCCGCGTACCTCATGTATTATATAGCAATCTAAACCCCGTCCGTGATTCTCAGTGGTTGAGATTTACTTGGGACCTGAAGTAATTGTTTTATCGTTTTTCAACGAACACTCCCTACGACGTCAAGAGACGCCCCACAGACAACCGAGCTCCCAGCATTGGCAGAACAGCCGCGAAGTGGACGGGCTTGTTCGATCATCCTAGGACTTCTCTGATACAATGGCGGAGCTCTAAACCTACTAATCGCCCGATCCTCTCCTCGACACTCCCCACACACCGAGGTCCCGAATCGAACGGGTGTTCCAGCCAACAAGAGTGCTAACTGATATTGAATCCTGGTGCCCACCATGTGCCACCCTGCTTATGGAGTCCCTCCTAAAGCCCACCAAAATAACGAGGACCGGGATCGCCACCTATACATCACCGACAGTGCGTCTACACCTGAAAAAATCCTATGCAAGCCACAGTCGACATTTCAAATGTATTCAAACTCTGTTTGGGCTACTTACTACCTAGCGTATATCAACGAACCAGATAAAAATTCCGATTCCCCCCAAATAATACATTCCTCCTAAGATCTACGCGGCCACCATTGGCGCAGGTCAGTAAGTATTTTCCGCTTTACCTCCCTTGATGGCCCTTCCGGCGGCTCAGATGCAATGTCAGCATACTGGGATCCGGCTTTAGTGTCCAAGAATTCGATAATCCACTGGTTCAGTATGGGTGTGTCGTCCATCTCGATCCGAGCCTGCACGGCTGCCCTGGCCACCGAAATGCGGGTCTCACCGTATTCCTCGATGAGCTGGTCCACGAATCCGCTCGGTGCATCCTGAAAATCAGGAACTGCCCCCAGGATTGCTGCGATGCACCGTTCGTCCCCGGTAGCCATGGCTGTCTGCACGGTGAGGCGGAAGACAAGGTGCGTTATAAACATGTGACTCCTAATGCGCCGGGGACCAGTGGGAGAGAAGAACACGTAGGAGCAGAACGGAACAGCTTCAAGAAACTGCATTTGCCGGAGAAGAGCCTGAGATCTTGTGTATCCGTCGCGCGCTGGCCCCATCTGCGTCAAGAAAAACACCTCGATGGAGGGTGGCTCGGTGGAGGAGGTGGCGTTCTGGACAACCCCGGGAGTCAGCGCCTTCCCACAGAACTTTTTGTGGTTCGGCCAGTCCGATTTTTGACAGGCCCTGTCGAAACATTTAGGTGGCGGACCAGTATTTCCGATGAAACACCTACCTGGAGCAGTAGAAAACTTTGCGTGAAATATTGTTGTTGCAATTTTACACACCGAGAACCGAGCACCACTTTTTTCTCTGTCTCCGCAGCCCTCGCATATGCGGGTGCCCCAATGCAATGGGGTTGCTTCGTTCTTGTCATCTTTGATCACCCGAGGAATTCCGACGAAAGATTCAATGGTATTGTACAGGAAGAACACTGCGCGGCGCTCAATTTCAGCAACGCACCCGGTTGATGAACTCACCAAGGAAGCCGTCGCGCATTGCTATCCAAATTTGGGCTCCTGCCGCGTGTCCGGCGTTCTCGAGCCGATCGATGGTCTCCTTCGTCCAACCTGGGTGCAGGTACGACGTAGGGCCGCCCTCTGTGTCGTCTGGAACATATTTCTTCAGGAGGTTAAGAAACCCTTGGCCGTTATCGGTTTCTAAAGTGTCTAATGTGATATCGGAAGTATACATGCGGTTGTTTGGCATGTGGTCCGGTAGTCGCAAGCAGGTGCGCAAAAGGCCTTCTAACATGTGCGCCTCTCGTTCCGCGGGTGTCAGTGTTTTCCAGCAGGAATTTGGTCCCAGGACACCGGTAACGGCCAAGACATGCAGCTCTGCCTGAACCACACGGACGCCTCGCATGATGTTGTAGTTCCATTCCATCTTATCCTGCTCTGCAGAGGGATTCGATGCCACCAACGTCTCCAAGTTGCGAACTTTGGAGTCAAAGAAGGGGAAGGTGCGTTCCCATGCGGAGTTCCAGGCAGCGATCCCGTCTCTGAAGTCGGGCATTCCGTACGTATGCGGCGGCGGAAACTTCTTGATAGGTCGAGGCATTAGTAGCTGAAAACGGGGCAAAGTTTGGCGAAGTTTGCCATCACCACCACTTCGTCGATTTACATAAGCACTCATATTTTCTCAACATAGTAAATCGCTTCAACATTGAAAACCTCAAAGTATGCAGTCTTCTCGGGAAATGACTGTCCGGCTAGGGCGAGAAGGACCCCTCTAGGCGCCGGCGGAAGAAATCAAGGAGGAACTACCATGTGTACTGAACACTTGAGTGTCCAAGCTTTCGAATCGTCGATCCAGCCGGAGTTCTCTCATTTGTTGAAAGTTCGGAATTTTAATCCCACAGATTGGATACAATTGAGTGGGTCGCTCCTTGCGAGTTCAACATGTTCACCGCAAGTCGCCGCGTGTGGCAGTGCTGGCTGACGTAACAGCACGCTGATCGGAATCAAACTTGGCCAAACTTCCGAGTCGGGCATGGTCTTTCTTCCTTTGTCTCCCTAATCTCAGCTACCCTTCACCATATCCTTCAGCAGCGGACGCCACCGAAGACTCTCATCTCGTCGCGCTCCAGTCTGATGCCATACACGAACGGACCAGTACTCCGTCGCCCCGACCTGGGGTCCTGTGCGCGCCATGGTCCAACGCGCGTTTATGACCGTGTATCGTGTCTGAAAGGTGAATATCCACGGTTTTTACTCATTATGCTTTCTAAATTAACCTCTTTATGAGCTCACGCGTCCAACTCTGGATTCTATATACAACTTCTAGTCAGATTCGGCTCATCTGCATTTCTTCCTCTGCTGACCAAGGTCTCAAACCTCTACTCCAAGGATGGAGCATACTATACAAGACCTCGTTTGTCCTCCACGATTTACTCGATGTATCAAGCACCAATGGCGATCTACGACTTCAAATGATAAGCACCCCGTCATCTTCGACGGAAACCATCAACTTTTCATGGTATGTTCTCATGCTGCTTGCAATTTGCACAACGTATTCATCGTACACGGTCTTCCTTGTCCTTTCTCCATCCTTTTTCCCCACGCAAGATGGCAAGCCTTCGGATATCCTTTTGACCTCGGTCCGCTTTTCTGATCTACCCAGCTACCTTCGCACCACCTCCCATCGCATGGCATCAGTGGTGTTTTTTTACAGGCAGACTGTTTATGGTCAAGGATGTTTGATGTATCAGTTGGATCAGTGAAAACTTCCTCTTATAGCGTCGGTGGTGTAACGGAAACATTGGGTCTTCCCACGTTGTGGAAAGATGGCCTAGCCCCGGGTTCGACTCCCGGCCGACGCACGCTTTTTGGTTGTACACGCATTCCCTTTTACTTCGACGCTGTTTCCGTACCTCGCCTTCACGTTCTCTTGTCTTCCACGGCGACGCGAACTTTTCCAGAGCTGGAAAAACACGTTACTCAGTACGTCTACCTATCGCGATCCAGCCATTGTGCATTCCGACGTGAATCTTAGTTTAATAGTTACTGGGAAAGCACTTGCTCAAATCATGAATCCGGCCGATGCGAACCGTTGGACTTGATTTAATTGAGACTTTGACGGACACGAGAAAGGGACAAGAGCGAACAAATGGTCGATAGGTATGCATACTGACAATATAGAAACAGGCGTCGAATACAACGGCCTACGTCGTCTCCAGCATCCCTCTCCTTTCTTGCTTTGCAATAATATGCTTGATGTTTTTCCCTTCATTGATGATTATCTTCGTCCTCCGTTCCCACTCCGTGTCCTCTTCTAGCTCGAGCTCTGCCATTCGTATCGCGACTGGTGAGAAACGAAGCAAGGATCTCTCTGCACCATCGGGAGTTATTATCTCGGTCAGGACCAGTGCAGCCCCAGCCTTTCCTTGACTTTTCACCTTATCGTCGCACTCGCGGACGTGCTGAACAAGGCTATCCACTGCCTCGCTGGTGCCTCCCGTCACCCGGCCCAATTCCGAGCGGTCAAACACCTCGATGCTTTCATATTCAAACGATTTCAAAACATTTGACACTCCCTCCTTCCTCTGGCGCAAAGTGAGAAGTGCGAATTTCTTCTGAATGTTGTCCGGGTGGCGTTTCACTTGCAGTGCTATTACAGCCCTGTCAACAGAGCAGCCCAATCATGAAAAAATGAACAGCCACCGCCGACACAGAGCCATGTATACAGCATTGGGCCCATGGCGAGGCGCCACGCCTCGAAATCTTCTGGCAGCCGCCCAGCCTTAGCAGCCTCGCGGGCAAGTTGAGCCCCCTGTTTCTTGCACCAACTCTTGTGGCACGGCCAGTCCTTGCGTTGACACACTGCGCTCTGACAGATGGAACAATTGAGCACGGTTTGCGGGAGAGATAGCCAGACACACGCAGTAAAACACTGTTTTGCATTGCTTGCAGAGGCTCATCGAGGAGCCTTTCAACTTGGTGTTGGTGCACGACGGTTCACGGCAGGCACGGTCGTTGATTTTGCGAACGATACTGTTGCCGGATGGATTCATCGTTGGATGGGAGTCGGGTGGAACACGCAAGGCGCAATAAACGGCCTGCAACCGCGTGTCGGCCGCATTCTGCGTGCTTGAATTTAAAAATAGGCGTGACTGCGTGTTTTCAGAAGAAGAGACTCTCCCATCGTAAAAATTCTTTCAACCAGATCTAGGGTCCAAAGATTGCCACTGGCATCCTTGGGGCTTGTTTCACCAGGATCGCAATACATCCGCACAGCGTCCCAACTGTATCTGCGAGAGCAATGCGCGCACACATTCCAGTGTATTGAATACAAAATATCCAGTCCAGGTTTTCCGACACTTCATATTTGTTCTCACACATCCGAATTCCGAGTGTTGGTGCGCCAGTGCATGATCTTTGTGAGGGGACACTGGGGGACTCAATTTTTTTGGGGGAGGAAGACTCTTGCCGACCAATTGCCGACGGATCTACTTCCAAAATGGGTAATCCTTAGCCTCACATCAAAAGTCGGACATGGCGCAAAATTCACGCACTGTCAAGCTTTTCCGAAACAGCTGTAACGAGCATTATCACCTTGTCTCCTCAAAATATTGGATGACCAGCAGCGCACCGACCATGGGCGAGCATGCTATCTAGCAGGACGCACGGATCAGAACTTAATTGGGATTTAAACCCGACAGTCCGACAACTCACGGGATAATTGTCCTAAATCCAGTTTTCAACACTCTCGACGACAAATGATACAATATTTCGTGGGCGAAAGGATGCTGGATTCGTTTTGGGCGAGAAATTCCCACAAGCAAGTGTTTCACTGAGACACCAGGCTGATGGGGGAAAAGGTATAAAAGGTGGACGATTTTGCGTACTTAGGCATCCAGTTTTCGGGGGTCCAGATCCCTCCCACTTGTACACAAAGTGTTCCTACACCCCACAAATTGAGAATTGATCAAAACATTGCACCCACTTGTCTTAAGACACTTTACTCACTCCCTCCCTTGCAGCTTAAGTCACCTAAGCTCGTGCTCATATAGCTCGCCCTCAAACTTCGCACACCTTCCTGCATGGAAACAGCTCCTGTAGCGGTGGGAACGAAGCTTCGAGGATATTAGACAGGATGCGCACGAGCCGCATGCGGCTTTTGGCTCTTGTGCAAAGCCGCAACGGGTTTTGTGTATATCTTGAGTTGAACACCATCATTGCATCTCTGGGCTTCTATTTGATGCCTGAGACTCATAAATCCTCAGTAGTGTGGAAATTGTCCCCAAACAGAGCTCGGGAAACCCGTTTTTTTTCACGGCATCGCTCAAGCCGCTGATTTACCGGCTACTTTAAGACACCGTTGGTGCTTGGCCTGAACAGTAGCAGGCTGCCAGGATATAGTCACCTTCTATACACTTGTTTTACATGTATTCTACTGAGATGTATGTTGTTGAGGCCCCGAATCCTCTGTTTTCGGTGCGGCTTTGCACAATGGCCAAAAGCTGCATGAAGCCGCATGCAGCCCGTGCGGCTTTTGCGCATCCTGTCTATTTTGGCAAACCGTCAACACCTGAACAGCCACGAACTCTTATATTCCGAGAAGTTCGCCGCTGAAATTCCGTCGACGTCGAAGTCATCTACGAACCAACCCCTTGGAAGGATTCATCAACTCGATCACGTGCCCCATCGATCACAGGAGGAAGGTGCATCGCTCGACCGAAGTAGAAGGCTTCGCAGATAGTTCAAAGGGACAAGTTCACGAACTTCATTCCCCAGCGAACCAGTATATTTTCACTATTCCCCCATTTTGCTAACATCAAACAGACTCCATCGGACCCGCCACACTACCTCTGCATCGACAAACAACCAAACCCCCTAGAGGCCGGACAAGCTTACCACCTGAGCATCATCCCGTTCACACTGGGGGCAGTGAACGGAGCACTTGGAAGACAAGTGCGATTCACTCATGTGCTCAGCACGTCCGTGTGACAATTTACAAAGGCCTTTGTAATATTTACATCTTGAATTAACAAGGCAGAACTAAGTGTTTAATTAAATACAGCATATGCTACAAAGACTTAATCTGGTTGTTTACTGCACTGAATGAATATTTGAACAGGATTTGAGAATTGGGTGGGCACGAGCGGCGAGTAATGCCGAGTGGAGCCGTGATCGAGCTGTGCAAGCCGACGGAAGGAGCCGCGCCCATGTGACGAGAGTGATCCGCGGTTGTGTCACTGTCAGTGTGTGATGCTTGCCGTCGCGCTCGTATTCGTCCCGGCCGGTCTCAGTGACCCGCATGTCGCCTTTGTCGGCACACGGGCCCACCCGCACATCTTTGTCGGCGCATACACCCACCCGCACGTCGTCTGTGTCTTTGTCGGGTGGCCGCCCAATGGCCGCCCCACATGTGGACTTAGGACTAGAAGCTGTCTTTGTCCTTGGCGTGACCCGTCGCTGTGGTCCACGATGAGCACGAGTGTGGCTATATTTAAGCTCTGAGTACCTCAGCATCCCAATCCAGTACACGACGCCAAGCATGTGCTCGACATCGTTAGCGACGATGAGCTCGAAGATAGCGAAAAAAATACCGAAAAAAATACAGAAAATTATGGCAGGTAAATGTGGGGGATGTGCAGTGTTTGCGTGCTTCCACACTGCTGCGTGCTGGCTGACCACTGCTGCAGTCATCCTCCTTCGCAGCTCTTCGCAGCTTCCCTCCCACAGCTGGCTGAGGATCCGGAGGCGCCGACCAGGTGCACATGCCCAGTGCGACCAAGAGAAAATATATCCTGTAGAGCTCGGCTGGCATGGCATGGGGGCGGGGCCGGCGGCTGCGTGCGTGGGCTGGGCGCGGGGCGGGCAGCTACGTGACACCGGGCCCGGCTGGGACGAATAAGAACGCGACGGCAAGCATCACGCAACCGCGGATCACTCTCGTCACATGGGCGTGGCTCCTTCCGTCGGCTTGCACAGCTCGATCACGGCTCCACTCGGCATTACTCGCCGCTCGTGCCCACCCAAATTTCAAATCCTGTTCAAATATTTATTCAGTGCGGTCAACAACCAGATTAAGTCTTTGTAGCATATGCTGTATTTAATTAAACACTTAGGTCTGCCTTGTTAATACAAGATGTAAATATTACAAAGGCCTTTGTAAATTGTCACACGGCCGTGCGGAGCACATGAGTGAATCGCACTTGTCTTTCAAGTGCTCCGTTCACTGCCCCCAGTGTCATGTCGTAGTGTCGCGGTCCTTATCACACCGGCTGGCCCTCGGGTGCTTGACCCAACCGAGACTCAGACCGAGACCTCCATGGGAGCTTGGCAGGACTCGGCACACTAGGTGGAACTCGGAAGCACCCTGACCCACGGGAACTTAGCAGGACTCAAAAATGGGGTGAGAATTCGGGAGCTTTCGTCGGCCGGGACTTAGCCCGAGACCTCCGACATGGGGGCTCGGCAGAACTCAGCACTGAGTAGAACTTGGAAGCACGACGGGATGAGCACGAAGTGTATAACATGAAGTACTACATAAATTTGTCTTGCTACTTCCCCGTCAATTTTTTGACGGGCTTACACTCTATATAATAAAATGGGGGAGATAACAAACATTAAAGGATTTTCCAAAATCTCACGCCCACGATCCGACACCACGGCATCTGACCGAGACTATGTCGAGAACGTGCCGAGCCGAGAAGAGTCTCGGCAGTTAAAGCATGGCGCGGCGGGGCCGGGACGGGCCCAAAGAAGCTGCAAATATGGTGAGTGTATACTTGGCAATGCTGATGCTTGAAGTTGCTGAGCTCAAGCGAAAATGGTGGGGAGTAATTGGGAATAGGATGGGTTGAGACCAGAGGAA